CATATACCAGTCATTAAATAATACATCCCCACAGGCTACATTTCAGCAACGTTTCAGAGAGTATTGGCCTGCTCCCAAAATTACTCTTATCACCTTCAATAGTCTTGTTAAGGAGCTTTTCCACTGCCTTGATAAACATTCCTCTTTTGATGTCGACAGACTCAGATGCTCCTCTTAAAATATTTGCATTTTACCTTTCAGCTCACTTATGGTTCATTCACCTCTGAGCACAGTGACAAAAGACAATTGCCTTCCTTTTACCGGATGGTCCCAAGTGAAGCAAACCAGTACATTGGGATCATTAACTTGCTGAAGCATTTTGGATGGACCTGGATTGGACTCTTTGCTGTGGACGATAACAGTGGAGAACAATTCATACAGACCCTGGAGCCATTGCTTTCTCAGAATGGAATCTGTTCAGCCTTCACACAAAGGATTACCAACCAACAAGATTTAACGAATTTCAATGCATTTTACATATTAGCTTCTATTAATTATCTAGCATTCTCAGAGAGCAAAGTCAGTATCTTTGTCATCTATGGAGATTCTATGACCATTCTATGGGTGAATACATATGTGCTCATAGGAGTTCCTAGCTACAATGAAAGCACATCACTTGGAAAGGTGTGGGTTATGACAGCCCAGCTGGATTTTACATTAACAGGCCTTCAGAATGGATGGGATTTTCAATTGTTTGAAGGCGCCTTGTCCTTCACAATTCACTCCGCTGAGATTCAAGGATTCAAGGATTTTCTTCAGATCGTAAAACCTGGCTGGAATCAAGAAGATGGCTTTCTCAAGGACTTCTGGGAGCAAGCATTTAACTGTTTATTTCCAGACTCCCAGGAGCTGATAGAGGTTGATGGAACTTGTACTGGAGAGGAGAGGTTGGAGAATCTTCCTGCAACTCTATTTGAAATGTATATGACTGGCCACAGCTACAGTATCTATAATGCCGTCTATGCTGTGGCACATGCTTTGCATGCCATAGGGTCCTCTAGATACAAACACAGTCCAATAATGAGTGGCAAAAGTCTTCAAGATCTCCAGCCTTGGAAGGTAGTGTATTCATAATGAAATAATCTCATTTACATAAAGAGAATATAAAAAATAATGCATCTTCCAACTTTATTCAATCATCATCATCATCAATACTATTATTCAAATTAAAGTATAACAACCATGGCATACTGGTTCTCTTGCCTTAAATATAAACTATATTTTAGACAGATTATTCGTAGGATGAAACTACATAAGCAATGTTGTCAACAAAATTTTAAATCATATTTACTCCAATAGGTTTTGATCCCATTCCTAACCACCCTTGTTCTTCTTCAACTAGCTGAACCCATTTCTTGAAGGCATTTTGTTTAATAACTCAGTTGGAGAAGCAATCTTTTTTCAAGATAACAGGGAGAGGAGAGGTGGATTTGACATAATGAACATGGTCACTTTACCAAACAAATCCTTCCAGAGAGTCAAAGTTGGAAGGGTGGATCCCAAGTTTCAGGAAGGAAAAGAGCTCATCATTAATACAGATATAATTGTGTGGCACAGGAGATTTAACCAGGTTTGGATTCTTGATAAGCTTCACGTTTATGCCTTCTGCCATGTTGGTTAGAGATACAAAATGATTCTTGTCTCCCAAAGGAACGGTGTTCGTAAGAGAGATCAGATGGATTATAAATGTCAATATGTACTGAAATGTCCCTTAGATGGGAAATATTCTTAAGAAAATGTTGTCTAAATTTACAGCTTCTTCTGAGAAAGAATTCATCTTTACTGTTGTTGTTGTTGTTGAGAGGTTTTCACCCTTTGGTAACCAAGCCACATTTGCACCTTACATTTAAAGCACAATTAGACCACTTTAATCAAAATGGCTTCCCCCTTAAAATCTGAAGTACTGAAGTTTGTTAAGGATGCTGAGAGTTGTTAGGAGAGCATTATTTTCCCTACTGAGCTACAATTCCCAAAGTTCCCTTGGAAGAGGGATTGGTTATTAAACCATTCTGAGAAGTGTGGTTCTAAACATGTGCTTACAGAGTAAACAGAGAGGTTGTCAATTTCTCCCATTCTACTAATCTTTTCTTCCCCTTTATGGGCAGGTGCTGCCTGTCTCTGTGTGCAGTAACTCCTGCCATTCTGGTTATCAGAAGAAAAAGAAGGAAGGAGTGAAGTTTTGCTGCTACAGTTGCGCCCTGTGTCCAGAAGGAAAGATTTCCACCCAGAAGGGTAGGCCTCTCTAGATCAGGGGTCAGCAAACTTTTTCAGCAGGGGGCCTGTCCACTGTCCCTCAGACCTTGTGGTGGACCGGACATTTTTTTGGGGGGGGGATTCCTATGCCCCACAAATAACACAGAGAAGCATTTTAAATAAAAGCACACATTCTACTCATGTAAAAATTTGGTCCACGGGCCAAATTTAGAAGGCGATTGGGCCGTATGTAGCCCCCAGGCCTTAGTTTGCCTACCAATGCTCTAGATGCTTTCAGTCCATACGTTTGATTATGAGTGGGAATGAGCTTTTTTCAGGGGGTGGGGGGACAATTTTTTTTAAGTTTAGACAATTTTGTTATTGCACTTTCTGTTATTCTTCTATTTGTGTTTTTTTTAATGTCCTCAAAAAGGTTTCCATCAATAAAATTATTACAAAAAAACCTAACTAGAACCTAATCAAATTAAACAAATTATAGCCTGGTTATTTCCTACATGCTGCTCAGTGTGACCACACAAAATCCTCCCCATGGACCTCGGGGCTCAGGCTGGTTGATATGGGGAGAATCATTCTGAAAAATGACTTAATGTAGGGACAATGGAGGGAGTAGCTCCAAGTACAGTGTCTGAATGCTGGGTGAGAGAGATTTGCCTGGCTTTTCACAGTTCAGATAGAAGATTATTTGGATTATTATTTTATGTTGAATTGTTCTACAAGAAAGCCTTTTTAGTATTTATTTTAAAAATGAATGCTGTTTTATAGTAACATTTGTAAAACATTTGAAGCATTGTTTTAAAATTAAGTTGTTTGCACATTTCATATGCAATTTTAGCATGTGATGACCACTGTTTCTTGCTTCAGACATGGATGACTGTCGCAAATGCCCAGGTGATCAGTATGCAAGCAAGGACAGAGATCGATGCATCCCAAAACTGACAGTCTTTATGTCTTATGAAGAACCCCTAGGGATCAGTTTAGCCTTGGTTGCTATTTCTTTTTCCCTCACCACAGCTGTGGTGTTAGGAACTTTTATTAAGCACAAAGATACTCCCATAGTCAAAGCCAACAACCGGGACATCACCTACACTCTACTGGTCTCCCTCCTGCTCTGCTTCCTCTCATCTTTATTTTTTATAGGAAGACCTCAGAAGTTGACTTGCTGCCTCCGACAAACTTCCTTTGGAATCAGCTTCTCTGTAGCAGTTTCATGTGTATTGGCAAAAACCATCACTGTGGTTGTAGCTTTCATGGCCACCAAACCAGGGTCCAGCATGAGGAAGTGGGTAGGGAAAACATTGGCCAACTGCATTGTCCTTTTCTGCTCTTCTATTCAAGCAGGCATCTGTGTAGTGTGGCTAGCAACTTCTCCCCCACTCCCCAATTTGGACATGCAGTCAGTACCTATACAGATCATATCAGAATGTAATGAAGGGTCTGTCATCATGTTTTATTTTGTTCTGGGCTACCTTGGACTTCTGGCCATCATCAGCTTTACCGTGGCATTCCTGGCAAGGAAGCTGCCAGACAGTTTCAATGAAGCCAAATTCATCACCTTCAGCATGTTGATGTTTTGCAGTGTTTGGTTGTCATTTGTTCCAACCTACCTGAGCACCAAGGGGAAATACATGGTGGCTGTGGAGATCTTCTCCATCTTAGCTTCCAGTGCTGGTTTACTGGGCTGCATCTTTGCTCCTAAATGCTTCATCATTGTCCTGAGACCTGACTTGAACAATCGGGAACAACTAATAAGAAAAAAGGATTGCTGACTTTTTCTCCCCCAGGCTCTCAATATGTCGGTATGTGAGTATTGGAGATATTTATTCAACTTTATTTCATAGTTGTTGCCACTTAAGATTAAATGAAACAGCACTTCATCTTTTATCAATTTCAGTACTGTAGTAACAATTCAAACTCACTTGTGGTATTATAAAGAATTGCCATGTTTCAGAAACTGAAAATTTGGACACTTTGTTTCTGAAGGGTAAAATTGTCATCCAAATTTGTTGAGTTCAAAATTGTTTTGATTCTCAAAAAGGAAAGGAAAGAAAATAAAAAGATTCGCAAAAATCTACACTCCCAACATCAACATGGGTTGCAGTACATATGGATTTCAGCAATTTCCATCTGGACACTTTTATGTGGGCCAAATTCCAGCTATGTCCGGGAAATTCCAGACGTATGGCAGGCCTGTTTTATATAACATATACTATCTGTTCTGCATATGTTAATAACAATGAGGACTTTCCTCCAACAGTGAATACCAGGGGTTCTATCAAGACTGTGGTGGGGGTACAGGGTACTGTCAGTATTATCTGGGATTTATTCCATCATATAGCAGAACTTCAGGTTTGTGCATTTCAAGTGGATTAAAGTGTTCTGCTGCCCTAGTGCAACCAAGCCACAAAAAGCAGACTGTTTTCTATTAGGAAAGTAATGGGGGCGGGACTGAAAAGTATGGGATGAACTATTTTTAATGGGTAGATGTATATGCACCTTGCAGTCAAATCAGGGTTAGGAACGGAATGATCATTTCCCAATCTTAAATTCAGATCTTCACATTTCTGCAGTAATTTGATTCCCCGCTTAAATCCTTCAGAAGATTCATCAGCATTTTAGTGCAAATTTCTCCTAATAAACAAATATTTTTGTGCAGTTTTGAATAATGTACACATTTTGGCCAGCAATTTCCCATGATATAATGCATTCAAAGAATGATAAAATTGAAGAGTTGGAAGGTACCCTGAGAATCATTTAGTCTCACCCCATGTAATACAGGAATATGCAGCTGTCTCATGTGGGGATTGAACCTGCAACCTTAGCATTATCAATCAGCACCACACTCTAACCAACTGAGCCATCCAGCTGAATTTGTGTGGGTTGTTTTCAAATACTGTTTTCATTTTTATACCCATTTCTGCTAATATGTATATTTTAGGGTCATTTGTTGGAGAACTGCATCAAAATTAGGATATTGTCATGAACTTTGGTTCTCCTATTGCTTCAGAAAGAGTGGATTTCATATATTTGTGCTCAAATAAAAACTGTGTCAAATTTCTCATCCATTCCAAATCAGAATGAATGTGCATTATTGTATAATTTCCACACAAACAAATCAGAATGAATGCTCAGTGAAGACCAGATACAATCTAACCTCCCTGCAAGCTTGGTGCAGGTGAATCATGAACAATATTCAATAAGAAGGATATATTGGGGGGGGGGGCTTTCTGTTAGAATTCCTGCTCCATGATTGCAGTCAGGGGATTTTTGTCTATCACATGACGGTTTATGTTTTGACTCCATAGAATGGGAAGTGACGAGACAGGATGTTTGTGTTACCGTGTTCCGTGAAGTGGGACTGTTGTTCTTTCTCTTTGCTGTCTGATGCCAGAAAGAGAGGGAGCCATGTTGCAGTGCTCCATGTGTGTTTATATGTAAATAAAGTAGATTAGCCAAAATGCTGAGTTGCTGAGGTCTGTTATGCAAGCTGCGAAGACTCTGTGGATCACTAAGTATGCTGATATCTGGTGGCAGTGGTCGCTGTGATGTTTGGGCTGAAGAGGGCTGATGAAAGCTTTTGAAACTCCCGAACGATCGACCAGGAGGGAGAGGACATGCCAGTGGGGCATGTGTCTCTGCCAGGGTCCTATTCAAGTGTAGGACGAGCTCCTGACACTTTCAAGCCTCCACAGTCTTGTTGCAGCTTTCTCATAAACTAGTAAAAGTTATTTGTTTAACACCAAGAATACAAAAACAATTCAAAACTACATGGCAAGTGCTGTATCTGGTGTGGGTCGAAAAACTGGGATTGGACAGTGGTCATTATTTCAGCATTGATACTCTGAGCTTCCTTCACAATTATGGAAATGTCTGGATTCACTTTAGGGTATGAATTTGCCCTTCCTGGAAGTCTAGAAAGCATCACCCATTTGTTGTCTCCTTGTGGTGCATAACAGTCTCGTGGCCAGATTCAAGTAGAGAACAAATATGTTTGCTACCTGAAGTGCTTCTGGCACAGTGACATTGCAGAGGTAAGTTACCTATCTCCCCCTGCAGCTATCCAAATTACTGTCATTAGTTCACCTCCCCAAAGCTCCAGTGGTGTTTCAGAAAATAACAACATTTAGTAAAAGCACTGTCTCCATAAGTAGATACAGAAAACAAGCAAGTCTCCTGTCACTGATGAGTGACAAGATGTAGGTAAGGTTCTGCCAGTTTGAGCTGCAATGTGTGTTGCCATTTTGTAGAACAGACTTGAGTATTGATTCTGCATTGGTTGTCTCTACTAGCCTGCTGAGGCATGCACTCGAATTCTGCTGACGCTAAAGATAAGTGTGTTGTTTTCCTTTATTGGCAGAGTCAGGCACCACCTAAAGTAAGGCATTAATGTAAGGCTGGATGCTGGAGCAAGAGAATGCTAGAGAGGAAGATTGCTGTAAAGATGGTGGGTCTACATGTGTTGTTGCTGCTGCTTCAGCTTCCCAAACAATGTAAAGCAGCTACCAGGAAGTGCCACATGAATGATCCCCTGCCTGTTCCACATGAGTGGTACCAGCCCGGGAGCCTCATCGTTGGTGGGATAACTTCTCACATCTCTTACCATTTCCATGAACTACTCTTCAATATACTTCCTTCTCATGAGTTGTTCGAGGTTCCAAAGTAAGCATTCACCTCCCCTCTTAATCTGCTTCATCTGATCTTGGCTAGATCACACACTCAACCAGTTGCTCATACAAATAATAGGATATAATTTCATTTTCATTTTACTTTTAGATACCATATTTTTACATTGCTATACACAGGGTGGTTTACATGCTGGAAGAACAACAAAACATACAAGAAAGATCACATATCTTATAAAAATCTGATCCAATGCAATTTAGGGATAATAGAAAAGGTCACTATCAAACAAAGTAAAGTTCAGTTATCCATTAGAATATAGTAGTATAGAATAAAAGAAACTTTCAAAATGTCAGTAAATAATAGTTAAACAGAATTTCACTCTCAATAAATATACAGTGGTACCTCTGGTTATGTACTGAATTAGTGCCGGAGGTCCGTTCTTAACCTGAAACTGTTCTTAACCTGAAGCACCACTTTAGCTAATGGGGCTGTTGCTGTGCCGCCGCAGCGCAATTTCTGTTCTCATCCTGAAGCAAAGTTCTTAACCTGAGGTAATATTACTGGGTTAGCAGAGTCTGTAACCTGAGGCGTATGTAAACTGAAGCGCCTGTAACCCGAGGTACCACTGTAATACTATTTTCAATGAAAAATAAGAGAAATACACAAAATAATGCAATACATTTAAAAAATGTAAAATTTGACTTTCTAAGAGAATGGGGGAGGTGGTCATGGTGAGTTTAGACACCTTTTTTCCTAGAAAAATAGTGCTGCGTGAACCAGATGAAACTTGGTCAGCTGCCTGTAGAGATTGACATAAATGGTAGATTTGAACAGTGAATAACAGGGAGATCATGCCTATTCTTTCCTGAGGAGTACCTACAAGCCACCTGTTGTACAACCTTTGATACCATGGCAAATCTTCCCAGTAAGGGAAGCTTCTTAGAGAGGGAGGAAAATCAATATGTTATAATGATGTGTGCTTCAAACAACAGCTTCTTCAGAAAAAGAACTAATATTTGTTTAAAATGATCTATCTGTCTTGGTGCATCATTTCCATTGCTGCTCCAAGTCCTGTTCTATTTTTCTGGATTTGATAACCAGCCTCATATAACCAACATACTTAAATCTAATTAGTGCATGAAATAAGTCTAATTCATGCATTAATACCATAGAGAAAGCTGTTCTTCCAGGCTTTGCTCACCCTGGAACAAAGTAGGATTTTGTTCCCCTTCAGTCTACTTGAGAAACTCCATGTGTGACAAGGTTTGAGCTGGTTAGTATGTGGCTGTCACTACCCAGTCTTGAGTTTCTATACCAATAACTGAGGAACTTGCACCACTTTGTAACTAAGTTTTGCCACGATTGTTGTCCCTATGGCAAGCAATTTGGTTATAGACAGGATGGAGCAGAATTATTCTAAACTGTTTTGCTGCTGGAACCAGGCAAAGGACCTTCTTGGTATTGGTGCCCACCCTGGTGTGCAGCCTGGGAGTCATTTTGGACTCACAGCTGTCCATGGAGATGCAGGTTAATTCTGTATCCAGGTCAGCTGTCTATCAGCTCCATCTGGTACACAGGCTGAGACTCTACCTGCCCACAGACTGTCTCACCAGAGTGGTGCATGCTCTAGTTATCTCCCACTTGGACTACTGCAACATGCTCTACGTGGGGCTACCTTTGAAGGTGACCTGGAAACTGCAATTAATCCCTAATGCGGCAGCGAGACTGATGACTGGGAGTGGCCGCTGAGACCACATAACACTGGTCCTGAAAGACCCACATTGGCTCCGCATATGTTTCTGAGCACAATTCCAAGTGTTGATGCTGAACTTTAAAGTCCTAAATGGCCTCAGCCCAGTGTACCTGAAGGAGCGTCTCCACCCCCATTGCTCAGCCCGAACACTGAGGTCCAGCTCTGAGGGCCTTCTGGCGGTTCCCTCACTGTGAGAAGTGAGGTTACAGGGAACCAGGCAGAGGGCCTTCTCAGTAGTGGCTCCCACCTTGTGGAATGCCCTCCCATCAGATGTCAAGAAAATTAACAACTATCTGACTTTTAGAAGACATCTGAAGGCAGTCCTGTTTAGGGAAGTTTTTACTGTTTTTTTAATATTCTGTTGTTAGTCAGAAAGAGTGGCTGGGGAAACCTAGGCAAAAAGGTGGGGTATAAATTATTATTATTATTATTATTATTATTATTATTATTATTATTTTGCTGAAAGAGCATTCAAACTCTCTCTGCAGTGTGGTGCTAAAATTCTACCAGCACATCCTGGCCTTGGTGTTTGCCATAAATGAGATCAATGGGAATCCCAGCATCTTGCCCAATGTCAGCCTTGGGTTCCACATCTATGACAGCTACTATGACGCAAGAATGACTTATCAGACCACTATGGACCTGCTCTTCAAATTCAGAAGATTTGTCCCCAATTACAAATGCAACAACCAGAAAAACCTCATAGCTGTCATTGGGGGACTTGGTTTTGATGTCTCCTTCCATATGGCAGAACTCTTAAGCCTATACAAGTATCCACAGGTAGGATTTATCCATGGATGAAGGGGGGATAGTCACTAAGTTCATTCTTCTCCTGGAATGCTGAGAGTAATTTTGAGGGTCAGAATAAGCAGAGGAATGGCTGTGAGAAATCCAAAAACTTCCCTAATGCTGAAGTCCCCCTGAAGTTTAGTGGTGCCGTTTCCCAAGTGTGCAGCAGCTGCAATATCCTCTTTTTAAGGAAGGAAAGGAAATGAACTGTGACTTCATTTTAAAAGATGCTAGTCCTCAGACCCTCTCATATACCAGTTAATAAATAATACATCCCCGCAGGCTACATTTCAGCAATCTTTCAGGGAGTTTTGGCCTGCTCCCAAAATTTATCTTATCACCTACAACAGTCTTCTTAAGGAGCTTTTCCATTGCCCTGATAAACATTCCTGTTTTGCACAGGTCGACAGACTCAGATGCGCCTCTTAAAATATTTGCATTTCCCCCATCAGTTCACTTATGGTTCATTCACCTCTGAGCACACAAGACAATCGCCTTCCTTTTACTGGATGGTCCCAAGTGAAGCAAACCAGTACATTGGGATCATTAACTTGCTGAAGCATTTTGGATGGACCTGGATTGGGCTCTTTGCTGTGGACGATAACAGTGGAGAACAATTCATACAGACCCTGGAGCCATTGCTTTCTCAGAATGGAATCTGTTCAGCCTTCACACAAAGGATCACCAACCAACATGAT